ACCTATTTGATCCAAAATTATTATAGGAATTAAGATCTAAACAAAGAGAAGATGAAAGATCGATTAAAAACGATAAAGGATTATAAATGCATGCGTAACACTTATCCTTTACCCCAAAATTTCTCTAAAAATTCTTCTCCTACAAGCACCTCTCGGCCCTCCTCTATTTTAACTCAAGTGTTATTTTTCTCTCTTTCAATGTGCATAGGAGAATGAATGTGAAATGAGAAAGACAAAAAGAATAAAACAAGCTTCTCCTCTCTCACTTAATTTTTTTGTTTCTCTCGGCTATCTATTTCTCCACTCCACCATTCCTCATCTCAATTTAATAAAATTTCACAACCATCAATGGCAAAACAATGTGCCAAAACCGTGGGCTAATTCTCCAAAAAAAATTGCCTTTAATCCATCTTGCAATGGCCAATTATCATGCATCCCTTAGTCTTTGATTCTTACATCTTGCACCCCAAAATCCTTTAAATAAAGTTAAGTTTTATCATGATCTCACCCCTAGAAAATTATGCATGTACCCTTGCATGACATAATATTAAAAAGACCCCTCATCTTTAATCAATTTCATAATGTTGTTGAAAGATTTTCACACTTCCAATTTCACACAAGTGATCTTGCAAAACTACTTAATAAACCCACCATGTCTTATTTCTTACTAAGACATCTCTAAAAAGTTTCAATTCTTACGTATTACCCCCTAGATTCACATAAACAAAATTAAATAAAACCTACAAAGAGAATACAGAGTATTACACAAAGTTAGGTAAAATGACTTGTTCTCTTCAAGAACTCTTTCATATAAGTCGATCTTTTAGTTTTTTAAGAAAAAAACTAACTCTTTATTCCTTTCCATGCAGTCTGTGCTTGCCCTGAATGTGACCCACAATAAGATGAAGATCAAATATGTTGGCAAACTCCATGACATGAAAGAGGAAATTGCCAAACTAAAGCAAGATCTTGTAGCTTCAGATGAAAAAGCAAAGGCCGCCCACATTTAGACGAATGTACATCTGACTGAAAGGAATTCAACTATGCGAGTAGCAGACTTCCAAAAGATCGAAGAAAGATAATGACAATAAAGAGCTCCAACGAACAATAGCGAGGCTCACTAAAAAGTTGGGCCAAAGAGAAAAGGAGCTGTAAGCGAATTCAGAGCATGAAAAAGCAGCAGAAAAGACTCGAGTTGAGTTATGGGAAAACTCAGAGAAAGAGAAGAATGCACTGTAGACATACCTTAAGTTGGCTCATGGGCGAATCACTTTGTTGACCGAGCAAATGAAGCAATAGAACCTCGAAATGGAAAGGAAGGCTACTCACTAGGCACTGCAAGCTATTTATAGCTTGCGGCCAAACAATCATAACATGGATATCTCCGACCTCCCCCCAGGGAATACCAAGTTACTCTCGGTTCTATGGTCAAAGCTGATGAGCAAGAAGAACAAGAGCTTGCCCTAGAGAACAATCAACAGGAAGCAGAAGTCCTTGAGGATCAAGCAGACAACCTAGAGGTCAGTGATCAACCAGACAACCCAGAGGTCGAAGTGGCTGGAGTCAAGGATCCTAGTGATCGAGACTAGTGATTGTACTTTCTTCTACTTAGAATAGAGTCTTTTTATGCTTTTTTTTTTTTTTTTTTTTTTTTTTTTATGTAGCTCATGGTCATCCTTTGTACACATTTTTGAAATATATAAAAATGAATTTTTGACTAATTGTGATAGCACTTTTATAATTTAAGTACTTCACAAAACAAATATAGCATATCCGATCATAACACTTGTAAAACGTTATAAATAACAAGATTATTAAAAACTTAAGATTACGACATAAGTAATTCTTTGAGAAGAATTGGAATAATCTTATTCATAGTATTTACAACAATGAAAACTTTACAAGTAAAAAATGATTAAGCTATAAGCGAGTTCGGAATTACTGATAATAGGGGCGAAGATGTTCAGCATTCCAAGCTCGCGGTACTTCAAAACCATTAAGCCTTTTGAGGTGATACATTCTAGGTCATATCACCATAGCGACATGATATGGACCTTCTCAGTTAGGTCCCAATACCCCCGTACTTGGTTCTCTTGTACCAAGAAGGACTTTTTTTAACACCAGGTCGCCAACCTGTAAGTTCTTCTTCTGACTTTACAGTCAAAGAATCTTTTTGCCCGTTACTAGTAGGAAGTCATCCTTAACCGAGCCTTGTTGCGGTGTTTTTCAACTAAGACCAGACTTGCACATAAGAGTGCTTTATTGTCTGTTTCATTGTAAAATTCTCTCCGAAGCAACTAGTTCTCACTTCCACTGGAACCATTGCTTTGCAACCATATGCCAATGAGAAGGGTGTTTTTGAAGTAGAGGTTCTCGGAGTCGTTATATATGCTCATAGAATTTCTGGAAGATCATCGGCCCAATTGCCCTTGGCTACACCAAGTTTGGCCTTCAATGAGTGCTTTTTGTTGACAACTTCAACTTGACCATTAGCCTGCGGTCTTGCCACTGAGGTGAATTTCTTATGAATCCCCAACTCTTTGCAAAACTGCTTGAATTCCTCATTATCGAATTGTTTCCTGTTATTAGAGATGAGTGTAAGAGGAATCCCATAGCAGGACACTATATTCTTAAAAACGAAGTCTTTGAGCTTCTTGGTAGTGATCACAGCCAAAGGCTCTACTTTAAACCACTTAGTGAAATAATCTACTGCAACTACTGCATATTTGACGCCACATTTACCGGTTGACATGGGTCCGATGAGATCAATTCCCCATATAGAGAATGGCCAAGGACTGGTCATCGTTGTTAACTACGGATCAGAATTCCTATCGAATGCTTGTATGTCGGGCATTCTAAATTTTGACAAGAGATGAGCAATCAAAACTGCTGGAGAAAAATGAGACGCCTTAGCAACCTGCCCTTGCTCATTCTGATGAGCTCTAAGCTTATCCAAAGCTTACTACAACTCCTCAATCTAAGGAAGCAAAGCCACCTGAGGATCGCTTTCCCCAATGTGGGTTTGCTCCCCACGATTGCGATCGAGGAAAAATCGCTAATCGGACTCTTCCTCACCTCGGTCGGAGCCTCTAGCATATCTTGACACATGCTAGCTAGAGCCATGTGAAGGTACTGAATGGTTGAGAGAGTTATCCCGACCTTCGCGATGGTTAGAACCAACCCGTGTTCGGTGGGCATTTCCTTCACAATGAAGGTCGAAACCATCATTTCGGTAATAGTGGGAATCTCCATGCCGCACACTCTTGTGGGGGTGCCCATGCGATGTGGCGTGAGACGACTCATGATGTGACATACTGCCAAGTTGCAAAGCTACAAGTATTCTACATGTTTCATAACCAGTATTCATTGGCCCTTTTGAGCCTTTTGGCCCATCGTCAGTCATCTGCTTTCCCTTATTTTTACGCGCTGTAGTGCACGTGGTATGAACTTTCGCCCATTTCCACACTTTAGCGTGACCTACAGATGTTTTTGGATGTGGTACCGCCTTATCAGAATTGGGCAGTACGACCTGATCCAAACAATCTAGCCTTTTGCTAACTGTTTAAAGAGTATTATTGAATCTCTCCAGGTAACTCATCACATCGGGATCGAGCTGAGAGGTCGAGGGAATGTCCATCGCGGCACCTAGGGAGTTGGAGGTACTTCAAGAGAAGAAACATCTTGTACCCGGGGGATTTCCTCGTTGTTGGTGCTAGTTCGCTTAGTTTCAAGACCATGAGTCATTTGTTCACAAGTAGAATTGATTGATCAGAGATTCTAAATGAAGAGTGAATATGAAATTAGGGGCCCTCTTTCTAGCACCAAACAATTGATGCGTGATTTTTACACCAACGATATCGCATATGCAAAGTACTAAGAAAGTCTTAGAAATTACACGTGAATGATTATAATCATATACAAAGACTGAATAATAAATGAGAGATGTGATTTTTAAAGTGGTTCGGATGCTTAGAGCGAATCCTACGTCCACTGTTTCTTTTATTTATGAGATATTACAAGAGGTCGCATATAGCGAACAACGAGCAGAGGTACAATAATAGAGTATTTAGAGAGAATATCAAGTCAGTCTTTTTCTCGTATGTTATCTTTGTTTCGAAAATAAATATTACAATCAGAAAGCGGGTTTAGTATCAAAATCCTAAAAATGAGAAGGGAAGTCCTCTATTTATAGTAGAAGAATTCAAGATAATGATTACAAATCTGCAAGTGGTTATGTGTTGTGCAAGTCCTTCCTTATCTCCTATTGGCTGATAACTTAAGAAATATCCTCAAATTATTTGGGATTTGGACAAGTGTGGGGCCCTCAATCACTCACAAACAAAACCTAAATATGCCAAGTTGATGACATTCATATTCTTTATGTCATGGAGCGATGTGGCAGCTCCTCCTTCTTAAACTTCGATTGGTACTTGCTGACGTAGGCTAATGTCATTCCTGATTTTTTAGCCATAATAGGAATTGAACGTGATTCTATTTTGTTATGTTTGAAAAAAGAAATTATCTGATTATCAATGTGTAACTTGTCAAATCCTCGTTACTAATAAAACTGAAACGATCTCTGGAACTTGATAAGAAGAGGCACATGTAATTATTTTACAAACAATTTTATATAGGTAGCTTTTTGAAAATCAGACTATTTATTAAATGGATTTTATACACATTTACAATAAAAAAAAATGCTGGTATGCATGAATATAAATTATTAAATTCATTAATGTTAATTAATTAAAGTAAAATTACTATTATGAAATAAAAAATTGGAAATAAAGAAAAATACAAATTATTTTTCTCTAATAATAATAGCGGCCTTCTTCAAATCAATATTACACACAACGAAACCAAATTTGATTGAATGAGCTCTTAATTGCCACGTCGGCAATTAACAAACACGATCACATTCGCATGAGTCTCTCGGAGGCTCGGACTGTGGTCCTTATATAACAGCTACTGGGCGGAAGAAAACGAGTGACTCAAAATATTCAAAAAATGAAAGGAAGCAAGGAGAAGCTATCCATGGAAAAATACATGGATTTTGTTTTCTCTCATCAGCCATCACATCTCAAAAAGCATATTCTCAATCAGGTTTTCTTTTGATCAAAACTCATTTGAATTATAATAATTCTAACTTCGCACATATGAATTCTTTCAATTTTTATTCTGTTTTTGTTGCTTTTGCAGATCATCGCCATGCATGGTTTCAAGAAAATCACCAAAGGTTCCCAGGTTAGGATTAGATGATTGCTCACCAAATTAAACGACATCATTAAACTCAACCGATTAAGTTTTTGTTTAATTTGGAAGATTCTGTTCGTTTCTTGAGAAATTACTCAGATAATTATAATTCTATTTTCTTAAGAGCCAAACAAAATATTCTCTGTTTCTTCTAATTTTTACAGAGTGTGTTAACCGATGTTGCGCGGACATTGAATCTGATGGATCCATCACGCTCCACTCTGAAAGAGAAAATCTCGCCATGCGCATCTATCACTCTGAACGAAATAACGACTGACCTAAACAACCTTGCTTGGGGCGAGTGCTGTGTCACTTCCATCAGTGTCATAAACAACACTAACACCGACGCCGACACCGACACGAACGCCTCTCAGCTGTCAGAATCTTTTGCAGGTAACTGCCGAGATTCTTCTGCTTCTACGTCGTCGTATTTCGGATCTGAGATCGGTGAAGTAGCGACGAAAAAGGTGACCAAAAGGAAGAGATCATCCACTTGATTGAGTTTTCCTCCGTTGATTGATTTCGTTATGTTGTGGTTTTTGAGTTTTGAAGTACTTTTGGTGTTTCGGCGGGAATCCTCTGAGACAATTTTAATTACTGATTCAAATTTATGTTTCTAAATGTAGATGAAATTCTTAAACAAAGGTTAATCACTTTTGTCAATTGATCGGTCACGGATGTTTTATTTTTTATTTTCGCATCGTCTTCTATCTACGTATTGATTGTTTTAATAAATGAAGCAATTAAGTACAAACTCTCACCAAATAATTCGGGTCTGTTAATTTTAGTATTTTGGATAGTATTTTTGAAAAAGTAAGAGTTTGGTGAGAATAACGAGATAAGATTTAAAAATTAACAAAAACAAACACTTCTGTAATAAAACATTAAAAATTATAAAAATAACTCTACCCACCCATTAAATACCGGCAATCGGCCATCACTATCCGTGGGTAGACCTGGCAAAACCAGTGGGTAGACCTAGCATAACCGGTGGGTGGATCGAGTACGGGTTGGGTCTTCATGGGTACGGGTTTGATACGGGTCAAAATATACGGGTCCAAAATATTAGACCCGTACCCTGCCCTATATGGGTACGGGTGGACCCTTTTTTTATCTCTCCAGGTTTAGTTTATGCAGTTTTACCTTTTTGAGGAAACTTAACTCCTTAAACTAGTTTTCAGATACCCACACAATTCATTGGCTTCTCTCACTTATTCTCTCTTCTTCTGAGATTGTATAATCGAAATCAGATGACCCAGAAGACACAAAATCTGAATCTGAAGGTACAACATACTTTTGCCTTTGCCGACTTGATTTTGTCTTGCTTTTTTCTCTCACAACTAGAGCATCATCGAGAAAATCACAATCTTCATCTTCATCATCATCACATCTTTCTTTCCTCCTCAACCCACAAGTTCTTCTTCCTTTCTTTCCTAAAGGCTTTGCTGAGTCTGTACGTTTTCTCTTTTTTCGACCTCTAACAGAAGCCAACTTAATTGCCATTTACAGTGACAACCTGAAAATCAATTTAGAATAATGGAAGAATTGCATCTACAGGCAGTGATGGAGTTGTACTATGTGACTGAACATAATTAACACATTGAAACTTGAACCCATGTGTTGACTTGTACCCATTTTTAGAAAATTAATTTCCTAATAAGAACCCTTTTTTCTCAGACTTTTTCTACCCAACTTCTTATTCTTCCTACTATTGTTTTTCTTCTTCGTGACCACCAATTCCTTTTCATCATCCAAACAATCATCTTCATCAAGGGTAAACTCCTCATCCTCCTCTTCCTCCTCCTCCTCTTCTCCTTCATAATCCTCATCTCCATACAAAACCCTTTTCCTCTTTCGTGATGATTTAGGCCCATTTCCTAAATTACTCTTTCCCGCTTTCGATCCAATAACCTTCCTCACCTTCTTCTCTTCTTCGACTTCCTCTTCCTCCTCCTCCTCTTCCACAAAACCACCGAAACTCTCTTCCGACGCACATCCAGTTGACTGATAAGAGATTAAGAGGTGGGAGAGAATGTTATGTTGAAGATTGAGAGGCGAGAGAGATGAGAGGCAGGATAGAGTTGAGTTGCTGAGATAGGGTAGGGGGTTAGGGATTTGCAAAAACGGGTACCCGCGGGTTCAACCCTATAACCCGTTAGTTATACAGGTCAGTTTGGGTACGGGTAAAAAAAACGGGTTCAATATACTGAATCCGTATCCTATATTTTTTATCCGGGTATAGGCCGACCCGCAGGTCTGGACCTGTTTTGCCAGGTCTACTAGAGGGTGGCTGAATTTGTCGTATTAATGCACGACCGATTGGATTTGGTCGGTCGTGCACCGAGATAGCCTTTTCTAGCCAGATCAATCGTAGATCTAGCTAGAAAATGCCAGATCTATGGCTAAATCTGGCAATTGACGACTAGATCTAGTCGTGTTTAGTCGTCAACGACGACCAAAGATATGGCCGTTGTTGACGACTAGCTACGGCCAGATCTTTGGCCGTAGATCTAGCCTTTTTTGACCAGATCCACAGTCGATCTAGCCAAAAAAGGCTATATCGGCGCACTACCGACAAGATCCAGATGGTAGTGCGCCATTATACCAAATTCCAGCTACCTTCTGGTGATGGTGGTCGGAATCTGGCAAATGTGGGTGGGTGGGTATGTTTTTGTTAATTTCTAAAATTTGTGTGGTGTTTAGTTAAATTAACAAACATAAGGGTTTAAAAATAATTGAATAAAATATAATATGATTTTCATAATAGGGAAAAACTTGATGCGACTAAATCAACCTTAGCAAGTGCACTAGTCGTGTTCAAGTAATAAAGTGATGAGTTTGAGTATCGTCCCACAGAGATCAAAGCAAATATTTGTAATTACCTAAAACTACCTACACATTATTTGAGAAAACGAAATCTTAGAGTGTAAAAGTAACGGATTAAAAATAACTAAATTAAACAAATAAATAATGTGATGAACTTTGCAATATCAATGAAGTTAGGGTACATATTTCCCTCTAATTATGTTTGACAACTACTCTTAATACCCGTTTGTGCTATGAATTGGTAGGATTCTTCTAAGGTCAATTATCCTTATTTAAACATAATATTCAACTTAATACAAATCCCTATTCGATTACTCTGAAATTAAGAAGCATAAATTCATCAATCCCTTACGACTAATTTGCCTTATTCGGCTATGAATTAGATGGACCACAAATTAATCCTAGAATCTCTATTCGATTATTTCTAGTTTTAATATATTGTGCAATGTTATTCCCATAAAACAAGAGTAATGCTATGTGCACTAACCAAATTGTACTAATCCAAGTATTAACAATTGAAATTTAAAAAAAAAAAATTTAATTTTTTGGGGGAACTAACGTGGCAATAAGAGAGGTATGTCATGTTAGTTAGTATTTGGGTTGTATGATTTTTGGTTAGTGCACATAGCATTATTCATAAAACAATTATGAATATGAATTAAACAATGAAAAATGTTATCCTTACAAAGACCTATACAAAGAGGGCTACAAAGTGACATCATGCAGAAGAAAAAAAGAAAGTAAAAACGGAAAAAGAGAGAGAGAGAGAAAAAAAAATCATGAAAATCAAGGGTGAAGATTGTCTTTGTATACCCCCTTGTATGTGTCTTTGTAAAACTAGCATTGCTCTTAAACAATAAACCTTAACTTCTCTATTCGAAACATCATCAAGGTAATTGAATCAATCCAACATTCATAAAGCATTAAGCCTAAACTCTTGCACAAATTCATAAACATAAATTTGGTATTAAGAATAAAAATTGTTCAAAACATAATTAGGGTTCCATCCTCCCCTAACAAAAGGGATTTACTCCATCTTAAGAACAAAGGAATAAGTAGAGAAGAAGGAAAACATATTCAGACTTGAAAAGAAAAACAAAAATCAAACTCTTAAATCTGATCTTTAGTCTTTAAGCCTCAAGAATTCGTCTTCTCCTCTAAAAAATATGCAAAATTCGTCTCTTAACAACTAATCTCAATTATACTTAAATACCCAAAAGAGTCCTACATGAAAAAGGAAAGAAAAACTGATAAAAAGGCTCTAATAGTTTCTGCCACAACCCTGGCCGTGGCCAAATTTAAGTCACTACAACCTAGGACGTGGTGCTTCCTGATCTCTTTGTTTTCTCTTTGTTCCACCACCATGGCCATGGTGAACTAGCAAGGCATGGCCGTGATCTTCAAGAATGTTAGGTAATCTCAACTTCTTCAAGCTTTAAGTCCTAATTTCATTCCAATACTCCAATCTACTTAATCAAAGCCTAAAAAACACAAAAGTTATCCAAATCAATAGGTAACCATTCATATCTCAAACTTAACAAAAACAAACATCAAAACAAAGGAAACAAATAAAAAGTTAACAAAACTAACATAAAAACAACCCTAAAAACACTCAAATTATGCAACTTATCATGTATTTTCATAATTATAGGAATATGATAGTGTAAAAATATTAAAACAAACAAAGACTTTGCTTTTGACAGGGAATTTATTAAAGGCCTACGTAAGGGAATACAACAATAAAAAAAATCGAGGTTAATAATAAATAAAATTAATAGTATTACATTTACAGACTTTATATAAAAAGTTGTTTTAAAAATTGTTTTTGTATACATACTAGAAGTAAAAGAGTAAAATTATTTAATGAGAAATGAATAATGTTGTATGTGTTAATTATCACTGTTTTAAAACTTGAGTTTAACTGGGACCTAGTAGCTTCACCGGTTCGGGTTAACATTTTCCTATTCACCCAAACCCCTATAATTTGGGATAATAATTGGTGAAAAATTGAAGGTTGGCATGTTGAGGCTTTTGAAGAAAAAGTGTCGGTGAGTGCAATGGTGGCGATGGAGTTGATTTCCGGTGAGTGAATAGACCAAAAATCGAAAAAAACTGGCAGCGGAAAGAGTTAACTTTCGCCGGTGATTGGCGAGGCTAACAAGGGTGGGGTGACGTAGGTTTTGGTTGAGAAGAAGAAGGGAGTATTTTCAGGGTGATGGGGAGGGTTGTTGACACCGACATCAATAAGATCTGGCTTAGAATGTCGACGCCGACGTTGGTCAATTTCGGCCAGATCTTGGGTAGATTTTTTGGGGAATGGGCTCAAAGGACGATTGGGATTGCATTTGGGGTGTTGCAATCGCCGATTGATTTGTATTTGGGGTGTGTTGGCTAAATTTCAAATATATAGGGACTTAAAATGATTTTTAGAGGTGTATTTGCTAAATTTTAAAAGTTTTGTCACCCGGTTTGACCTGCCGATTAAACCGATCAACTTGGGACCCAAAAACTTTGTCGGGTTTCACCTCGGGTTGGTTATTAAAACATTGTTAATTACCACTACCAGGTAGGCATGGCAATGGGCCTTGGAATTTCGAGGGCTTGTCCCACCTCACCCCATATCGGGCAGGGATTCCCCGGTTTTTACGGGGATAGGGCGAGGACGGGAGGAGTTTTATTCCCCGTCCCTGGGGAAGGGACAAGGATGAAGAGTGCCCTTCCCCTCCACCCCATACATAATATATAAATAACCTCATACAGAGAATATATATATACTTTACACTAACACCCCTATATATTTCACCGAATTATCCTACCTATATAAACCTATATTTTCCCAATTTCCCTGAACCTAAGTCCTAATGTCCTAATCAATTGAACAAGAACAAACCCCCATTTGCCCTTAGCCGACTTCATATATTGTTGTTCGCCAGATGCCGATGTTGAACCTAAAATTGATCATGTTTCAATTGATGTTGTCCCATGTTTTCATAAGGAGAATTAGGGAAATACTTGGACATTGAGGATTTTACCTATGGATTTGAGTATGGCTTCAAAAAAAATGATGGCAATGCTTAAATGGTCTTTTTAGTTGGTGTAATTGATCAAATATATAACGAGTCTGTATTTTGGACAAATCTCACTATTGAAAGAGAATTAATTATTGTGCTTGGTAATGCTCAAATAGTTTTTGTCATGTGTTTATTCTCATAATTAAATTGATGTTAATGATCAATTAACGGGGTGGGACAAGCTGCCAAAATTCCCCGTGGGGACGGGGCGGGGAGTGGGGCCCCTGCCTACTACCAGTCTACCAGGGAGGTAATCGAAAATTTCATAACTACACGGGATTTTTTTGTACTTATACCGAAAGTCAGGGAGATTAGAAGAAAAACATAAAAAGTAAAACAAATAAGAGAACCGCCAAAAGGAATTTGAGTTCCCCGCCCCGCTCAAAACCATTGCCATGGCGCGAAATTGAAAGCAATAAAAACATTTCAATGTTGCACAATACAAATTTTCCAAATCTCTCTTACTTTCTTATTCTCTCCGGATCCATCGATTAACTTCAAATGGAGACCTCTAGATCTCAATCGTTTTTCCAAGATATCAGATGCAGAGAGCTCAACGGATTTAAAGGTCCCTCTCTCTCCTTCTCCGTAGACACATTAATTTCATTTACATAATTTTATTATTCTATATTGAATTTTTTTTTTTTTTTTGGTTTTTTCTGATTTCAGTTACAAAGAGACCATATTTTGGTGGCGTTGTGTCAGATTTCGCGGAAATCGGAGCTGTGGCCGTTGAACACAGCGGCGAGGAGACACCTCCGTTGGCGATTTCATTTTGCAAGGTAATGCGTTAAGTTTCAGAATGTTTATTAATTCGCAGGAAGATTTGATGCGAGAGAAATTTTCGTAACAATATCCATGAATTTGTAATGTGTTTCATATTTGTTTCTCTATTGTAGTAGTATGTTCTGTTTTAATTTAAAAAAAAAAAAAAAAAAATCCTATTTTTGCAGACAAGTAGAAACTCTCATATATATGCAGTGTCTGATGAGGATGGTTATGTGAGCTTGTTTGATTCTCGAAGGAAATTTTCTTCATTTGCATGTCATCAAGAGAATGCAGGTTTGCTCATAGAGCCAATTTCAGGGTTTTTGTTAATTTTAATGATGGATGAACTACATTTGACTATTTGTATTGAAATTTTAGTGAATAATTTGATGAATTTTGGGCAGAGAAAGCCAGAATTTGCGACTGGGTTGCACATCAAAATGCAATTTTTGATTTACGCTGGATCAAGGTACGAGTTTGTTGTTTAATGAATTCCATTCAAATTGTATAGAGTTTAGGTAGCGAAAAGTGCTACCACTTCCATTATATTACTGGCATGCGGCTGATCACAACTTTAACTACAGTGAATGATATTTTTTTTTTTTTTTTTTTTATTTTTATTTTTTTTTGGGTTTAAAATTAAATCCGGTTATCTTAATATATTTTAGAGAGTTATTTTGCATCATTAAGTTTATGTCTGTGAAGATGTTAACAGAACAAGTTAAGGTTGTTCATTGGTTAAATTTCACGGTCATACTTGACTAAACGGCAGTTTGTGTTTATAAAGTAGAAGGTTAACATGTTAAGTTTTCATTGATACATGAACTAATCTGATTTTAATTTTATGCTAACATTAGTTATATGTTGGAATTTCTTTCAGGAAGATAAAAACATTCTGACAGCTTCAGGTGATCAAACGGTAAGTGACAATGCTTAAAAAGAAAAAGAGAGATGGTTTCTTTTAGCATTTATGTCATTGAAACTTTGATTGAGGTAGCCTTAATTAATATAAGTTAGAATTGTTGCCTTGTACTGTAGTTTATCGGTAGTTTCCGCCTGGTTTATCGATGTGAAGAGCTTTTGATAACTTGATGACTAAACAGGAGTTGTACTTTTCAGGACATATTAACTTAAATTATGTTACAATTCTGTCTCCATGATCTATGTTTGTTCTCTTTCAACGAATTATTTATTTTGAGCTTCTATTCAAAACAATTACGTTTCAAGTAGAGAAAATTTAAGACATATTTCACAATGAAAAAGTGAGATTATGAATGGGAAAATAAAACTTAATTTTTAGAACTTAACATTGTGAAGACGAATTTAGAATCACAAAACCTTCCTGTGGTCATTTTGCAGATAAAGTTATGGGATGCACAGGAAAAGAAATGTATTGGAGTGTTGATGGGGCACACAGGGAGCATAAAATCTTTGTGCTCTCATCCAACAAATTCTGGTAGGTTGTAGGTTTTCTTAGTACTTCTTCTCATCCAGAAACTACCTATTGATTTTTTGTTTATATAATTAAATTGTTATTGTTCAACAGATATTGTCGTGTCTGGTTCAAGAGATGGGTCCTTTGCTCTATGGGACTTGAGATGCAACACTAGTTCCAAAAGAAGTGGGGAATTTTGCTTAGCGTAAGTTATTTTTACATGCTTCATTTCACATCAGCAAGTAAATGACGCTTGTGATTCTGGCAAAAAAATTTCTTTTTATTATAAAACGATTGTGAATCAGTTTTGCTCACTTTGATGCTATTATTATTACTTCATCCAGCTCATCTGCCGTGGTAAAAGGAGCTCATCTTTCATCTCAAGCAAAAAGGGTTAGGCGTGGCAAGGTGAGTTAGCTGCTAAATTTTCTTCTCAATCCAATATGTGGTGCTCTTGGCTAATGGTTCAGTTCTTTTAGGCTGCTTCCATGAGCATTACATCAGTTCTTTATCTGAAAGATGAGGTGACCATTGCTACTGCTGGTGCAGTGAACAGGTATGTGATAAGTAGCAAGCTTTTTCTGAAATTACTTTTGAATTTCCCTAAAGGTCGTATCATTCTTTCTTTAGCTTACTGATAATTTCTTCATTTCAGTGTTGTAAAATTCTGGGATACAAGAAATCTTAAATCTCAAGTTACTCAGGCATGTCCTTATCCCGAGTCATCAGGTTTAAAGGTCAGTTTGCGCTTGAACAACAGAATACTTAATCATCACCAATTCATATTTTAGAATCGATATGCTCATTATCGTTTTCCTTTTTGATTTCAGGAAAAAAGATTACATGGTATATCTAGCCTTTCTCAGGACTTGAACGGAGTGTTCCTTGCAGCTTCATGCAAGGACAACAGGTATTTTGCATTCTGCATATTTCCCTTATAGTGTTACTGATAACGATGTAATAGCATAATTGAAATTGTTAATTGGGTTGAAGGCAAAACTAAGTCGAATCTCAGCTTGTGCTGACTCCTATGTATCTAGCATGCCATCCCACTTAGAAAAAATAACAGCATAGAAGATGCAGGACCAGCTTTTACATTATCCCAACCCTGCTTTATACAATTTGCATGCACTAAGTAAGAAGAAAAAACAAATTTACTGACGTTGAATATCTGATTTAAATGCTATTTTCTTCCTTTTGTCAGAATATACTTGTACAACGTACTTCAGCTTGATAAGGGTCCTATACAATCTTTTTCTGGATGTCAAATAGGATCATTCTATGTTAAGGTATGCTTAGTCTCATCACTCGAAATCGCAACTCCTACTCTTTGTAAGACTGATTGCCAATTGCTCCATATTTAGATTTGTGCCATACAGTATCTGAAATTTCATTATGCCATCACAGGCGGCAATTAGTCCTGATGCAGCACATATTCTCAGTGGCTCTAGTGATGGAACTGCATACGTATGGCAGGTAGAGTTTACTCACACTAATCTTTATTTTTTGTTAGTTTTGTCTTGTAAAGTTTCTAACTTATATTTGTGATTTTAAACCAGGTGAATAAACCTCAATTAGATCCTGTCATGTTGAAAAGTCATGATGGAGAAGTTACAGCCGTAGATTGGTATAATTTTCAGTTATTTTCTGGATGATATTATTTTGCTACTGTTAGTCTCGTCACAGACATCTTAATCATATTTCTTCGACTTCTTTTGCAGGTGCCCATTTGAGACTGGGAAGATGGCAACTTCTTCAGATGACTTCACAGTAAGATTAAAATTTGCTTATAGATTACAGTATATGTCCCTTTAAATGCTAGCCTGATGGTTTGTTCACATCTGTCCTATGTTTAATACATTTCAATTTCTTTAAAATATTTTGTCAGGTTCGGTTATGGAACATCCAGAACAAATCTTGCTTGAGCAAACGATCTCCATCTTCCATCCGAAGGAGAGTAATGGCAATTCCGGGTGCAGAATGTAGGAAACTTTTGATGACTGATGAATTGGCATATTCAATGAAGGGTCCTGATAGTTCATATTCTTCAGATGAAGCAGTACACCAAAGTAGTTCTTCCAATCCTATCACCATGCCTATAGTTGGTACTCCTGATGCTCAGAAGAGAAAGTTCTCATCCTCTGATTTGAAAGAAACCTTTGAGAAAACCCCTGAAGCTAATTTGAAGAGTCCATCTTCTGTGTTGAACCCTCCTTCCTCTGTGAAACGAAGAACTATCCGAGATTACTTTATCGTATCGCCGTAGAAATTTATCCACAAGTACAGTACAAAATGCATATTATTAGTTTTTTAGTTCCAAAAGCAGCCCTCCCAATCCTCTTCAAATCATGAGTAAGTTTTCCTTCCTTTCTTGCTTTGATATCAAATTACAGTCAATTAATCAATTAAGTGCTAACATATTAATCTGTGTTTTGATTTTGCAGGGTTGTACGTGAAATGTAAAGCAGTATACGGGACTATTGTTTAGCCAATATCAAATCACATCAATATTCTCGCTGGATTCTTTTTTTTTTTTTTTCTCTTTTGATTGAGAGAGATTCAAATACAAAATCTTTTGAACAGTTAATAACATAAAACTCTTAGAAAAATACTCATTTACTTTCACACTATTCACCTGCAAGTTAGACCTTCTATCTTAAACAGTTTGTCATAGCCAGTCTCTCTTCCAGTATCAACTATCAAATGTTCCCTCTACCATCAACCAACTTAGAATTTCAACAATGCTTATAGACTTCTGCAATGTATTTATTCATCTAAATATGATAATATGGATGGTCGTCCCTCCTAATACATTTTCTTCTACTTCATATGTTAGACCTGAATTTGGGTAATGTGTTGGCTACAGAAACCAAAGAGATTGGGCTAATAGCCCAACCCAATTCCCACTAGTAAAATCCTGGAGATTAGGGTTTGGGGAAATTTATGAAAAGAAAAGTAGCTTCGATGATAGTTAATTTAATTTTTGGGTGCAATATCATATTTTTAATAACTGTCCCATTTCTAATTAAAGGTAACATTACTTTTTCTTGGAAAGGCAATCCCCAATTCCCAAAGGCTTCACCACTATTTGTTAAGTCTCAGGCCTCTGATCATTACAAACTGAGAAAAGCTCTTTTTCATTTCTGGCTGGGAAGCTCAAGTGTCCATGTTCAACAATTGAGAAACAAAGCTTGTGGCCTGTGTGAGATAAAAGAGTGAACCAGAATTAAGTGCATCAATCAAACTGACCCACATTGTGATAATCTTTTAAGAGTATATATAAATCACAATTAGGTATAAAATATACCACAGCTAAAGCAACTAATTAAAACCGCACCCAAAAAAAGAAAGCACTTAGTGGTTCCTACCTTTCCATAATTTATTTTATTGATTGATTCCTCCATTGAGGAATAAAGCATATAAGGCTTCACCTTAAAATTCCAATTTAAACTTGCCTGAATTTTGAAGATGGGTCATGGGTTCTTTTGGAGAAGTGGTCTCCATCTCTAACCTTACAAATTAAAAGTTCAAAATTTAACATTATATTATATTGCATATGTTCAATGCATTCAGTAATCTAGTTCCATATACATGTATATATTTATTTAACAACCAATAATTGATTCCCCAATCATTAGCGAGCCATGCTTCAATATAAATATTTGACTCAAATTATTCCTCTTTATTCGAGTGGGTTGAAGGCAAAACTAAGTCGAATCTCAGCTTGTGCTGACTCCTATGTATCTAGCATGCCATCCCACTTAGAAAAAATAACAGCATAGAAGATGCAGGACCAGCTTTTACATTATCCCAACCCTGCTTTATACAATTTGCATGCACTAAGTAAGAAGAAAAAACAAATTTACTGACGTTGAATATCTGATTTAAATGCTATTTTCTTCCTTTTGTCAGAATATACTTGTACAACGTACTTCAGCTTGAAAAGGGTCCTATACAATCTTTTTCTGGATGTCAAATAGGATCATTCTATGTTAAGGTATGCTTAGTCTCATCACTCGAAATCGCAACTCCTACTCTTTGTAAGACTGATTGCCAATTGCTCCATATTTAGATTTGTGCCATACAGTATCTGAAATTTCATTATGCCATCACAGGCGGCAATTAGTCCTGATGCAGCACATATTCTCAGTGGCTCTAGTGATGGAACTGCATACGTATGGCAGGTAGAGTTTACTCACACTAATCTTTATTTTTTGTTAGTTTTGTCTTGTAAAGTTTCTAACTTATATTTGTGATTTTAAACCAGGTGAATAAACCTCAATTAGATCCTGTCATGTTGAAAAGTCATGATGGAGAAGTTACAGCCGTAGATTGGTATAATTTTCAGTTATTTTCTGGATGATATTATTTTGCTACTGTTAGTCTCGTCACAGACATCTTAATCATATTTCTTCGACTTCTTTTGCAGGTGCCCATTTGAGACTGGGAAGATGGCAACTTCTTCAGATGACTTCACAGTAAGATTAAAATTTGCTTATAGATTACAGTATATGTCCCTTTAAATGCTAGCCTGATGGTTTGTTCACATCTGTCCTATGTTTAATACATTTCAATTTCTTTAAAATATTTTGTCAGGTTCGGTTATGGAACATCCAGAACAAATCTTGCTTGAGCAAACGATCTCCATCTTCCATCCGAAGGAGAGTAATGGCAATTCCGGGTGCAGAATGTAGGAAACTTTTGATGACTGATGAATTGGCATATTCAATGAAGGGTCCTGATAGTTCATATTCTTCAGATGAAGCAGTACACCAAAGTAGTTCTTCCAATCCTATCACCATGCCTATAGTTGGTACTCCTGATGCTCAGAAGAGAAAGTTCTCATCCTCTGATTTGAAAGAAACCTTTGAGAAAACCCCTGAAGCTAATTTGAAGAGTCCATCTTCTGTGTTGAACCCTCCTTCCTCTGTGAAACGAAGAACTATCCGAGATTACTTTATCGTATCGCCGTAGAAATTTATCCACAAGTACAGTACAAAATGCATATTATTAGTTTTTTAGTTCCAAAAGCAGCCCTCCCAATCCTCTTCAAATCATGAGTAAGTTTTCCTTCCTTTCTTGCTTTGATATCAAATTACAGTCAATTAATCAATTAAGTGCTAACATATTAATCTGTGTTTTGATTTTGCAGGGTTGTACGTGAAATGTAAAGCAGTATACGGGACTATTGTTTAGCCAATATCAAATCACATCAATATTCTCGCTGGATTCTTTTTTTTTTTTTTTCTCTTTTGATTGAGAGAGATTCAAATACAAAATCTTTTGAACAGTTAATAACATAAAACTCTTAGAAAAATACTCATTTACTTTCACACTATTCACCTGCAAGTTAGACCTTCTATCTTAAACAGTTTGTCATAGCCAGTCTCTCTTCCAGTATCAACTATCAAATGTTCCCTCTACCATCAACCAACTTAGAATTTCAACAATGCTTATAGACTTCTGCAATGTATTTATTCATCTAAATATGATAATATGGATGGTCGTCCCTCCTAATACATTTTCTTCTACTTCATATGTTAGACCTGAATTTGGGTAATGTGTTGGCTACAGAAACCAAAGAGATTGGGCTAATAGCCCAACCCAATTCCCACTAGTAAAATCCTGGAGATTAGGGTTTGGGGAAATTTATGAAAAGAAAAGTAGCTTCGATGATAGTTAATTTAATTTTTGGGTGCAATATCATATTTTTAATAACTGTCCCATTTCTAATTAAAGGTAACATTACTTTTTCTTGGAAAGGCAATCCCCAATTCCCAAAGGCTTCACCACTATTTGTTAAGTCTCAGGCCTCTGATCATTACAAACTGAGAAAAGCTCTTTTTCATTTCTGGCTGGGAAGCTCAAGTGTCCATGTTCAACAATTGAGAAACAAAGCTTGTGGCCTGTGTGAGATAAAAGAGTGAACCAGAATTAAGTGCATCAATCAAACTGACCCACATTGTGATAATCTTTTAAGAGTATATATAAATCACAATTAGGTATAAAATATACCACAGCTAAAGCAACTAATTAAAACCGCACCCAAAAAAAGAAAGCACTTAGTGGTTCCTACCTTTCCATAATTTATTTTATTGATTGATTCCTCCATTGAGGAATAAAGCATATAAGGCTTCACCTTAAAATTCCAATTTAAACTTGCCTGAATTTTGAAGATGGGTCATGGGTTCTTTTGGAGAAGTGGTCTCCATCTCTAACCTTACAAATTAAAAGTTCAAAATTTAACATTATATTATATTGCATATGTTCAATGCATTCAGTAATCTAGTTCCATATACATGTATATATTTATTTAACAACCAATAATTGATTCCCCAATCATTAGCGAGCCATGCTTCAATATAAATATTTGACTCAAATTATTCCTCTTTAATTAATTAATTAATTAATGTCCTCCCCTACTTTTCTCAATGTCCTATCACACAGCATCTGACCCTTAAGAGTTCACCATATATAATTCGCAGCAACCTTAAGGAATATATAAGATTATAGTTTTAATATATAAATTACTTATAGGTAGCTGGGTGATTCCTTTGTGATTCTTGGATGTATTATTCAAGATGTCCTGACTTCAAATTCACACGACTACTAATAAAGTGTAGACATCCGTTGACTTCAGGGTTCCAGAGGATTAACTAAGGTGCGTGCAGATTGACCCTGACACCATTGGATACCAACAAAAAAAAAGTGTTTCAATATAGAGTTTCTGAGCCTGCCAATCATGAAATGAATTTTAGATAGATACCTTCATATAATTTTTTTTTTTCTTTTCAATCAAAGTATAATCGATAGATAGGGTAGGGATGGTGAGTGGGGGCATGTAATATTCTCTATTTTTTATTTTATTTTATATTTTCTTGATGATCTTGGGATGCCATGGAATCAAATGATAAGAAAGAAGAGATATTGGACGAGTGGTTATCTATTATTGTTTGCTAATTAATCACAGCTTTAAGATGATTAACTTGTTTTGAAAGATAATGAAAGTGAAGCTAGATTTGTACACATGCACGCGTCCATATATGTTAAGTCCAGGAACAAACAACAAATAAAAAAGAGTAGATTCATGTATCATTATGAGGAGATCTAAAGAAAATTATCATCACTTCAACTGCTAATTCTATATATTATGATGTACACCGACACATGATTTCTTCAATTATGTCAACTAATTAATTTATTTATTACTTAGTTATTAACTAAACATCTGATGGTGGTTGCGAGTTATAAGAGTAAACCACTTTTTGCCACCTAAACAAAGATTTAATTACATTTTTTCATCCATAGATTTTTAAAATAACACTTTATTATCCAAATTTATATTTTATTTCCGATTCCGACATCGTTGCAACCCCACACCACTACCATTCTTTTTCCTGATCATCACTCATCAAAACCCCTCAAACCCTACTTCTAGTGACCTTGCCAATCGCTGATAATTGAGCGATTAGAGTTTGCGTATTTGCTCCTCCCAAGTCAAATTCAGACCAATCCCAATCATCTAAATCTAACATTTCACCACCAAAAGACTCATCAATCTCCTCTCTTTAAAAGCCCTAATAGTTTGGACCAAGTTTGTTCCCTGTTTGTCGTCAAAATATAAATTTGAATAATAAAATGGTATTTTAAAAGTATTTAGGTAGAAAAGTGTCGTTAAACCATTATTTAGGTGGGGAAAAATCGTCAACTCTTTATAAAAGTTTAAGGCAAACTCGAGGCAAGAACAAGTGAGATTAGAGGTGCCTTTTAAGTATATATATGTTCACTTTCATAACTCTAACTTCAACAATATTATTCATCTTTAGAAAAGAATGTTGGATTATTAACATTCTGTTCTACGTTGATCCTAGGTAATTGTTTTTGTGGGGGCTCATTTGAGTGCCTGTACTAACTACTGCATTAACTTCCCAAGTAATTAAACCTTATTTTAAGAAAAATTCTGTGTCATTCATGACATTACATTAATAAAATTGTACTAATAAGTTGGGGTGCTAGCGCATTAATTAATTATGTTTCTTATAGTTGAACAATTTTTTTTTTTATGATCGAGGTGTCTAGATTAGTTAATGTATATCTTAATTAATTCTTTTGAACTATAAAACTATCAATTGGGTCAAAGTTTCAATAATTATCACTATTAATAATAGATGAGGGATTCAAATTCAAGATTTCTTAAGTAATACACACAAGAGTTCTTATCAAATCACTCGATTTTCTGGAGATAGTTTTTATAATTGAACATGTTATATAGTATGTACATTATTTCACAATAAACAATATTCAACTCCTTATGAAAAAGAAATGAAACAGCTGCAACTATTGAATGGTTAATATGAAAAAGTAAAATAAAATTCAGACTGGTAAATATCGGATGCTTCTCGAGAGTCGGGATTTAGAGGTATTAAAAATAAAACATGTATTATAAAAAGTGTCTGAGAATTATGGATAATGTAAAAAACATGTTTGATGGCGAATCTGTAATGTTGAAAATTCTTCAAAAGCAAACTCTGCTACTAAGATTGTTATCAGATCAGCATCTTGTCATAAAAATTAGATATCAGATGTTAAAGTGTGTCGTCAAATTATTGATGGATTGTGCATGAAAGTTGTCACTTTGTGAGCTTGGGGACCAGAGAATCACAAGATAAGATAAGCAGCTAGCTGGATCAGAGATCCGTCAAGAGAAGTGAAAATCAAAGAGCGAACCCAGCCACAAGTTTTCATGCATGGTTACTATCTATTCCCCTCCCTCCTTGTACATATATTTTCAGCTTCCTTTTGTCGGTAACTCGAATGGACATCATAATATTTTGTCCACTGTTTATACTATCACGAACCCATTTCAATAATACATGCAAACAGTATTAATGGTTTCACTGTCTGTGTTTCAGAGATTCATCATGATGATATATAGTCAATTTCAATAATACAATTTAACTGCAGAGAGCGTGGGAATGTGTCCCCTAATACAAATTGAAGCATCCCACATAGGAATTCTTTATAAATTTTATTTACCATAAATCTTTTTTTTTTTTTTTGCCTTTTGTGGGTTTTATTGAAGATGGAGCCCAAGGCATATCAACTCACAATTACATTGATAAGTCATCTCCGTACGTGTATTGGAAAATGCCCACTTTTGGTTTTGGATTTCTTCTCACAGAAAAAACAACTACATATATGATATATGTATACTTGAAACATTTTATATCTTCTGGAGTATTTGATTGTGGGCAAATCGAAATCATATCAATCTAAAGTTCTTCTGACTAGCTAACTTATGTATGATAATATTTTTGTAAACTGGGAATTAAGTTCACTAATTCCAAGTTATAACAGTGAAAAAAGTCTACTTGACATGCAGTACTTTGAGTTGCAGGTGCAGATATTACAGCAAGTATTATGGATCTTTTGAACTTCATTAATTAACAATGGCAGAATATGTATCTTTTGGTATAAAATTTCATCTTGTTTGGTGTTCTGTATTTTACTTTATTAGATTGTTATTTGATCTATTTAATTCAATTGGATTCAGTTTTAGAGTTAAACCAAAGTAATATCTTATAGTTTGTGACCATGTCGAGCATTTTCAGAGGGAAAAGGAAAATTCAAGAATATGTGTATGAACTTTAAATTAATTTTTAATTTGGGAAGTTTATTTAATTTTTTTTTTCCCTAGTCCATAAATAGTGTTCTGACATTATTATAATAAGTACAGTGAGCTATTTCTTGTAGCCCCAATTATTACACTTGTCTTTTGCTTTCCATTCCTCTCATTAAATGCTCTTTGCCTCCTTTTTCTCTCATCCTCCTTACTTTTGTCACTGTATTTGCAGGTTTTCTCCCTGTGTCCTGCAAGCAGCTAGGGTTGCCTACTCTTTCATCAAACTCTCACATCCAATAATAATAAACCCTATCTTGCCTAAGCAATTTCCCCCCATTCAATGGCAGCAGCTCCTGCATAGTCTTTTTCCTAGGAAACATTCAACCAACGGATCGGGAAAGAGCCTACTCATCAACAAAGGTATAAAACTTTTCTCTTTCTTTTTCCATCTGAGAAATTAACCTTGCTAAACTAGCCTCTTGTAAAAAGGGAAGTATCTCTTTAAACCCTTTTCCGATTTTCATTTTTCATTTGGAAACTAATTAAATACTTTGTTTTTAATTATATGGTCTTTAACAAGCAGAGTAATATATATATAAATATATATATATCTCTGTGTGTGTGTTTTTTATGTTATAAGAAGAAAAAAATTAATGCAATTAAGTTTAAGATGTGTAATTTCACGATGCTCTACTTGGAAGGAAATAAGTAAGATCTATATATTAATTAGCACAGTACTAGAGCTATTAATTACATGTTAGATATTTTAAATTGTGTGGAGAGGGAGAGTTCTAAAGGACGACAAATATATTATATTTATATGATTTGAGGAACAGTTTGACAAATTCAAGATAATCCAAGCACAGTACTGTGTAGCATCTGTTTTGTGTGTGTGTGTGTGTTTGTTTGTTTATATATATATATATTGGTGTGATATGTTTCTTCTTTTTTTCTTGTATACCGTTAGTTTTGACTATAGGGTTTGCCTGAAATTCAAGATGAATTTCAAGGAAGACTGCTTTGCAGGCCGCAAAAGCAAAAGTAGGTTGAAAAGGAGATAGCTGTTGGTGTTCTCTATAATTCAATTTCCATTAGACATGTGTGTTTTTGCTTATTAACCTATTTCAATAGTCCAAGATACGGCTAGAATTTCTGAATAAAAAAGGTATTTGTCACTATAATTCTATAACTAAGTCAAAGTAAATAAATTTTAAAGTAAAGATGTCTGGTTTTTCAGCTTCCAATTATATTGAAATTCAATGTGGTAATTAACTAATAAGTGTTAATTAAGCTGTAAGTGTAATTAAATCCTTTGTTGCAGAGAAGATCATCATGGCTTCTTCCAGTTATTCCAATTCTCCATGTGCTGCCTGCAAGTTCTTGAGGAGGAAATGCATGCCTGATTGCATTTTTGCACCATATTTTCCTCCTGAGGAGCCACAAAAATTTGCCAACGTCCACAAGATTTTCGGAGCAAGCAACGTTAGCAAACTCTTGAATGAGGTGATGCCTCATCAGAGGGAAGATGCAGTGAACTCTCTTGCCTACGAAGCCGAGGCACGGATGAAAGATCCGGTCTATGGCTGTGTTGGAGCGATTTCCGTCCTCCAACGACAAGTCATTCGACTCCAAAGAGAATTAGATGCCACAAATGCTGATCTGATCCGCTATGCCTGCAATGAAGTCCCGCCTGCAACATCTCAGTTTGGGTCAAGAAGGAGTTCAGGTCATGGGCAAGGATCTGTTGGTGATCAAAATTCTGGCTTCTACTTTCCCTATAATAATGATCATTTTGGAGATGGCCATGACAGAGGTGAAGGTAGCATGTAATTATTCATAAATAATCGACAATCTATCACTGTATTTGCATAGTTATGAGCTATAAGGAACCCTTTTAGGGTTTCTTATTTTCTATATATATGAGCTTATAAGGGACTGTGATATATATTATTATGTGGGAATATTATTTTGTTAATTAAACTTCTCCTTTTATAATATATTTATGAGACCCGGCGGCTGTATATTAATTATTCTTATCTTTATGCCATTTAAGCTGAAGCATTAATTATGATTTTCACTCAGAATCTCAGAATCTGGTGTAGCCATTTGAAATTTTTTGCAAGTAAATTAATTAAGCTCTCTGGGATAAGGTATACTTGCGTGGTCGATTCGTGGCCTTGTTTTGCTCAGTGCATTGGAGTTTGCAGTACATTTTTTTTTTATGGCTATATATGCACGTCAAAGAAGAAGTAAAAACATACAACTATCAACCACTTTCTGCAGCAATTCTGCTATTTTGTATAGTACCCAATTACTGGGATTTTTATCTCCCTCCCTCTCTCTCTCTTCCAGATAATCCTATCTCAAACCTAATCTTAAATCTCTGTTTATAATAACTTGAATTGTTTTTGGTACACATTATTGGTCAGAAAGCACAAATAATGAACATCTAGCTAACTTATAATATGCCCATTCAGTTTTGCGGCTCAACTAATCAACATAGTTTATGTAAAGCATATCAAGATTATATGGCCTCTCGACAGGTACAAGCTACATACTAATCAGATATGGCTAATCTACGTAACAATATATGTATATATATATCCAAATCGATTACGTGCATTACAGTCTCTTTTCAATAGTCAGAAAGAACATCATATATATCTGGTATCAATATCATTAACTATGCGGCCGCCATATATAGCTAGATGCATGTATGCTCTCTCCTTTTATTAATTTCCTCAAGCAATCACTCATTTCTTGACACTAATACGGAAGCTGATGTGAACAAACTGTTCTTGCTTTCGGTTCTACAGAATTAATGAGGGTCCGTTTAGGTATCATCATCCAAATTCAGTTTCCCACATTGAGATACAATTTGAAAGTTTGAAGATACACAGTTGCATCCAAAACCATTAAATTAAGTAAAAGTGACATCCAGATCGACTTGAAACCAATTAATTAGATAGGTTCATAATCAGTTTTTCTTATAAAGCAATTTCATGTTGATGATCTGATACATTATACCACAGAAATTGGTTCATTTGTGATTAGGGTTTGATGTATAGTTATTAATGGGAAAACCATTAAATTATTATCTTTTTTTTGGTTTCAAATTTCATTTACTAATTTTAAAGATCTTATTTAACTATTGTTTTCATGGATCGATTCTAATCAAAACGTATTTTTCACCTCTCCTCTTGTGGTAGGATGACAAACTATTTAGTCAATATAATTAGTTATATTTAAAGGTTTTGTGTTCAAATTGCTAGAGAAGCAATTACCAAATTTATCCAAAAAAAAAAAAAGTATTTTTTGAAGATTTTCTATATCATTTATACAAGAAAGTGAAAGTGACATCCAGACTTGAAACCAATTGATTAGATAGGTTCAAAGTTAGTTTTTCTTATATAGCAATTTCATATTGATGAACTAATATGATCTGATACATGATACCATAGAAATTGGTTCATTTGTGATTAGAGTTTGAGATCAAAGCTATCTATGGATTCATTAATTCTTGTCCCATACTCCTCAATAATGAATTACTAAATTTAGTGGAAAAAATGAACATGGAAGATAGGTAATTAGATGAATATGTCCAGTGTAAATGCACATACTTAATTCGTTAATTAACAACATAATACACACCAACATCACTATCATAAGAAAAGGAGGAAATCAGTTATAATAAATTCACCAACATCAATCACTATCACAACAAAAGGGAAAAAAACACTTACATCTAATCCAACTTTAGTTAGGGTTAAAATAAACATAAAGTCTAAGTGTGAACAAAAGAAAATAGGTACTACATATATATTCTCTCTCACACCCTTTTTGTCTATCAAAATTTCAAGCTTCTTAATCTGCAGCTTCACTTCATTATTTTCATCTGGTAATTTTATAAATGAATAAAGAATTACAAACTAAAGACGGGAAAACCCGAAACAAGGTTACCCTGGAACAAGCGGGAGAGAAAGGTCACCCCAAAAGAACAAGGAGACATAGCATATACAAATCCTTCACAAGAGAAAAACAGCCCACTAAAAAATGAGCCAGAGCTCAAAAACTGCCCATAGCGCACCCAGAACACAGATGAGACAAACATCCCTCACCTGCTAATTTCAATCTGTTTTTACAACACTGTAAATCTGTTGACTTGGCAGACAATTATATTCATATAAAGTCTTTATTAACCAATAATTTCCTTCACAACAAAGTCGGTGTCTTGAACAGTAAAATTGTACAGATGCCTAGTCTCATATAGGAAACCGAAACACAAAGGAATTGTTATCCCATGTGAAGTGTACGTGGATCAACAGTAAAATAAATTTGCATTTTTCTGCGTATCCTACTTGGATTTTTCACCTTTGATTTGTCTATTATTATATTCTTCACTGTTCATCTTCGACCCTTTGTTCCTCTCTGAACATGCAGTGAGAATTTTAGTACTGCTTCATCACATGCACTTCAACTTGAAGCAGAGACCAGAAACAGTTAATGCTTGTTAATTAATTTCCTAAAAATAATTAATTAACAATATTATTGCATGGTTTCATCTTCTCTTCCCAATTTAACCGCCTCTGAGTGATGACACCTGCATGACCAATAAGGCCATATTTAATAATTTTCTAGTGATGGTAGGGATTGTTGAGAGCTCTAAATTTGCGAAGCAAGTGAAAAAGATTTTTGGATTATAGAAAATAAATTTAATCAACTGATCAGATTTTAATTAACGAGTTATTTAATCGAGAAAGTCCATATTAGTATGTTCACATAAGTTAAAAGTGTAAAAACGCGTAAGGTGAAAAAACACAAACACAAACAAATTAACAGTCAGTTCTTTGAATATTCTCTTTGTGTGGCTAATTTTTCTTCTATTTTCTTGTTTTCCGTCTTTCCAACAATGGAATTAAGTCAAAAAAGTAAGAAAATCAACCGAAATGATTCATAATCTTTCACACGCAAACTTTTTTTGTAGTGGGATTACAAAGAAATCACCAAACTCGCCTAAATTTGCTCAATCGAGGCAATAAAGATATATGTTCTCATCACACAAATAGTTAGAATACATGGGTTTCTTTTTCAACTATTTAATTTTTCTTCGAAATCAAGACATAATGTGACCTGATGAATCCATTACTTTTGTAACAGATATTACACATATGAAGGGATTGAAAATTAATTAATTAATTAGTGACAAGAAAGATTGAAAATGTTTCTCCCTGGCATGCAATACCAACTAGAGAGAGAGAGCATGCGCAACCAAAAGCAGAAAACGAAAGACCAGAGAATGAAGAAGAGAGAAATATAAAGTTGGTAGTGAAAAGGGTCTTTGATCTGGGACCCGGGTGGGTTCTGAAAAATGGAGGAATGGGTCAAATCTAGAAATCGTTTTCGATGGTTAAAATGGGCCAGCCCCAACCGCCCAAGAAAGGGGATCAACTGACCCAAGAGGTCCAAAACCAAAGACAGCTCTGTTCCAAAAGTTGAAATCTGACTTGATTGATTGATCGGATGTTTCTCCAAAGCTCTGTGGACCTTCCCCACATGTGTTTTGAACAGAGGCCTATTCCTAAACTCCCTTTTTCCTCTCCACCCACACAACAATTCGGTGAGAATAAACCTTCAAACGTTAAGCACCTGTTTGTTAAAATATTGATAATAACATTGCTATCCTATTTGAATTAAAAGATAGGGTATGTGTTTATTTACTTATCGGTCTTTGTTAGACTTTTTACATTATGGTTTTACACTTTAATATAATTATATTTTGGTCCTTGCTGAGGTGGACTGATGTGGTCATAAGGTTGTGTCTCTTCTCTTGAGCAACTGTCTTTGATGAAAAGACAACTGCATATTAAAAGGAGGGAGACTTTACAGGTCCCCAATTAGACGCAATTTTTATTTCAGATTCAAAACCATCACTCCAAAAATTGCAGTCAGTGGAAGATCCTGTATTTTGAAGGAGCAAGAAGATTAAACAACAATTGCTATGGCTGGAGGTTTGTCATTTACTTCTGCATATATTCCATGGAGATTTTATGTTGAAATTGATTGTATTATCAACTTTATATGAATATTGGAATATGAATGTATTTTACATTTGGTATCAGAGCACTGTTTGAATCTCTGCCTAGCATGAAAATGTTTATTGCAAATCTGAAAAATATTGCGTAAAATTGGGATTTTTTCCATTAAAACCCATACTTTAAATCAAGCATAACTTTTATTATAAATAGAATCTGTTTTCGATTTTAGTGTCATTGGAATCCTTGTTGAAAAAGCTTTCCAACGATATATTATTTGTCAAAAACGGAGTTCTGGATGCAAAGTTATGCTAGTTTAAAGTTTTGGTTAGAAATTATTGTTTGGGTGTTTTCAGAAGCCATTTACGGCACCAATTTAGGACGAAATTGTCATTTGGGATGTCACCGATATAGGTTATATGTCTACATTCAAGTTTCCCCTTTAAAATGGCCAGAAACAGGCTGTTGAAAATCTGCAAAACTGGGTAAAAAGTTGTAGAAACGGGTCAATCAGAACCGACCTAATTAATAGGATAAACGGGTCAAACTGACCCGGTCAAAGTCAAAAGTCAAAACAGGTCAAACTAACCCGATCAAACCAGCCCAAAACCCGATAGGTCAACCCGACTCGGTCAACAGGTCAGACCGGTCAATGAACCGAACCGGGTCAACTCAACCTGGTCAAACGGGTTAGACCGACCCATATTCAGGCCGGCGCATGAGGAAGCTTGTGCTTGCGTTAGGCGCGTGAGGATGTGTGCTTAGGAGCGTGTGAGCGCGTGGTGGTGCCGTGTAGGTGCGTGGGACTGTGTGCTGTCTTCTGGCGGCGCATGAAGGCGCGTGGGGACACGTGGTCTAATCATGGTGGCGCATGGAAGTCGGTGACAGCGTGTATGATGGTTTTTATGTCATATATTGCTTTGTTATGCATAAATAATGTGTTATTCT